TTTTACCCTATAGAATGCCAATGGGAACAAGGTGAAGCTAGAGGTCCTCTTCGATGCCATCCTGTAGTACACCCAGACCATCGAGGTAGATTGCGACTTGATTTAATTCAGGCTTACTGTTTTTTACATTGCTACCTCGACATTCCGAGTTTCATGCAATTCTAATCTACTGAATAAATTAGGTGTCAACCAAGTTGGTCTTAAAATTAATTTGTTCTTCTGTTGTGCCTTAACATTTTTTGTTTTCTAAATTTATGTATTTTGTCGGCTAGTCTGTGGTTTTAGCTCCTCGATCTGTAGCCAATCAAGAGAGCTGCAACTGCGACGTAAGAGTGCTCCGACCAAGTGGACTAACGAAAAATGGTGGAGTAGGGTGACCCAACTTGGCTAAGACACAAGTCAAATATCTCATGACAGAAAAGTCTGGCAAACAACTAAGGAAGAAAACACTTAAGCCGGCTAGCGGCGCAAATTGAATGATGGCTGTAACAGCCCCGGAGTGCGGCCTGAAGGAACATAATCAAACAACTAGGCAAGATGGACAGGGTAAATTATTGATCACGATCAAAATTAAATAAAGGGACAATAATATATACGATTCTTCGACTTGGGGATAGATAAACTTCATTTAATTCATACAATAATGTATGGATTGAGCTAAACAATAATCTAAACTAAAAATGAAAAGAGCTAAGCATAAAAGCAACTTATCAGGGCAATGTTCCAGGGGTTCGTCTCGAGGAAGACGGTCTCAACGCATCGGATTTGGTATGCTCCATTCTATAGCACTTTGTGCATGATGAAGGGTCTGTACCTTGGCGGTGAAAGGTTGTCCAGCCCCTTCGTGTCCTGTATCATCCGTAAACTGAGGTCGCCGATGTTGAATGCCTAGACTCATACCTCGTGCGCTTGATAGCAGCGAAGTTGATGTTGCTAGATATCCAATCTGGCTACTACGATCTCCCGTGCTTCCTCCAAGGGATCTATGTCATCCTGACACTCCAACTCAACACCATTCTCCATGTAGCGATGTAAGCGGGGAGCGTCATGTTTGATGTCGCTGGGAAGGATGGCTTTGCTGCATATATCATAAAAAAGGAGTGTAGTTGGTAGGTCATTTAGCGTAGTCGTGAGGCTCCACAAGACAGAATCAAGCTCGTCAATCCACTTCCCGTCGGCTTCCTCCAGTGATGTGACCAACACCGGTTTTAATCCACCGAGGACCAATCCATTTGCCTGCTCGATACGCCCATTGGATTGCAGGTGCGCCACAGAAGCAAATTTTAATGTAATATTGCATGAAGCGCAACAATATTTGAACTTCTTGGACGTGAAATCCCTCATGTTGTCTGTGCCAATGCCGTGGGGCATGCCATAATGATGTATGAAACCTGATAGGAACTTGATGACCGGCTCGACAACTTGACTAGTGACCAGCTTTGCCTCTTTCAACTTGGTGAACTTTCAACTAGGACCAGGAGGTATCTGAAGCCTCCCTCGGCCCTTCTCTGACCCTAGACCGCAATACCCCATGTTATGGGAATTGTTTTAAGGGCTATAGACGGTAAATGGCTGACTTTAGCGATGCACCGGTATCCCAAGCAATGTGTGTGACTATGTCGGATGCATCTTGCCTTACTGTTGTGTAATGCCCAACATGCGATCCTAGTCTCATTAAAGATTTTTCAATCCTTGCTAAGGATAGAAGCGCATATTGGTTGCCCCAACATGTGACTAATACCATACATGCAGGTGTCACATGTCAGAAACAAGGTGGACATCACAACAAATACAACTACACATGAAAAGATGAGATACACGAATAAACATACGGCATACAAATACCATACATAGCTATATCACCAATCAAAGGTCACATGACCCAACATTACATTACAAGCATCATCCAAAAGGCACAATCCGAGTATGGATAAGAAGATAATATGCCTAAGAGGCAAGAGAAATAAGCAACATCCACCCCACTAATCCCAGGCTGCCAACCGGGATCCCATCCTAATGATCATCATCGAAGAACTCCAAATAGAACGTACATCACTCTCACGTTAGAGCATCACTTTACATTGTACCTGCATCTGGTGGTGTTGTAGTATGCGCCAGCCTTTTGGATTCAACAAGTCTCATTTCCAAGGGTATCATAACTAACAATACTTAAAAGGTTAGATATGGTTAAGTGGTGAGGTTGTAGCAAGCACTAAGCATTTTTAAAGCAACTAGTACTAGAACAAGATAAGATAAGTTCTACGCAAAAGGGGGGAGCGGGTGCATAAGTGATCCTGAACACCAACCTACGAGTCATTCCTAACCCCACTTTGTCCTCTTCTTGATCCCAAACTCATAAGAAGAGAAAATGACAGTACACACACAGTTGGCAAGGTTTAGTTATTAGTTAAAGTTCTCTACAATCAGATGTTATAAATTTCCAAGTCGTCTATAACTGTGGACACGACTTTCGAAAGATTTAACACTGTAGGGGTGCTTCAATTCCTCCATCATAGATTGTTGCATGCATACCCAGAAACTTCATCAACGTGTAAACATGATGCGTTCTAGGAGTCCCGTGTAGCAAGTCCTCGATCTAATGTAAACCTAGTCCACAAAGGCCTCCTGGTGGGTCTCTACCTAGCTCACACGCACTCTATCCTTGGACCCATCCATCTATGCTAAGTGGACAGTGAGCCAAAACCTTGAGTTGCCCCGTGGTGGACGGCTGCCTGCTAGGTAGGGGGGCAATGATTTTTGAGGACTAGCCCAAGTTATTTCAAAAATACCTCGAGGGGGCGAATCTCTATGCGATTCATCTCCCTTTAGACTTCCTTGATGGCTTTGCATTTGACAAAAAGATGTGTTCCATCTTCATCCACTCACCCACAAAAGAAGCATTTGGTGTTCTCAAGCTTGACGCCTCTCTTCACCAAGTTGGTATAGTATGCTAATGATTCATGTTTCACACAGCAGGTGGGCATCTGAATTTTGCGTGGGCACGATAGTTTTCATATTTTCTTCAGGATTGGTCGTCCCACCTATCCAGAGATCCAGCTGCTACAACACTGTTGTCGGCAGCCCCATTCCTTTCTTCTTGCTTTTGGATTCAAATGTACAATTTATAAGCACTCTTACCATTATGGTTTCCTTTGCGGTCGAAGTGCCAAGCCACAAAGTCAGTCACTCCTTCGTGTAGGGTAATTTACATAATATACCGCACATCACCCGACTGGAAGATATCCTTAACAAGCTGCTCATCCCAGGGCCCCCCGTGATTGGGCAGATAACCTCACTAACACATGTAATCAGATACGGTCCTCGATAGGTACTGGCATCCTCCTATGTCGCCTTTAACATGATCATTGAATCATCTACAAAAAATAGATGTGAAACACTTGGTGCCGCTTGGCAAATACGGACGCCATCCTTCCTCCTCAGTCACATGTAACAAGGCAGAGAGTCCTTCAGTGCATATGACAAATAGATAGGGAGACAGAGGGTCCCCCTGCCGCTGTCCACTAGATGGCCTAACTGCTGAGTTACAACTCCATTGATTTTAATCTAATATCTAACTGTGGTCACACACTTCATTATAAGGCTGACCCAATTCCTTCTAAAACCGAGCTTTGGCAGCATAGTTTGTAGACAAGTGGCAAATGGAGGCTTGCAAACAAGTGATAGGTAGCGAGACCAAACAATAGCATCAGGACATCTAGCAAGCAAAGCTAGTAATGGTTTCCAAGGTAATGATCGTTCGTGCCCGCAATCCCATTTTGAAGAAGATAGAAACCACAAATCATAGTCGAACAAATCCCCGCACTCCGTATCGTTACCGAAAGCTATTGGGAAAAAGCAAAAGTGGAAATAAGCAACCGATACGGTAAACAACAAGGCACGACATAATGCACAATCGACTGCACCTTCGGCGACAGTGTTTCCAGAACCTCTTCCTTTCCGTACGATTTCAACATCCGATCTCCAGGCGAGATAGTTGTGCCCATCAATGCTAACTTCAACAAATTCTTTGTTAATAAAGTCATACAAATTTACTTCGGGTAAATAACATGGCAATATATGTACATAATGGTAGCGTATTTCAAAGTAATAATCCAGTTCCAGCTTTCCACGCGTATAGTATGATTACTAGCAACAATTCATGATTAAAGCAATTTCAGATTACTTACATAATAAAAGCTACAAAAATAATCATATTTAAAAGCGCTAGAAAGCATTTACCAATAGAAAATTAAAGTTAACTACGAGGACTAAAATGTAAAATTTCAAATTTGATGCAATTACCAAAAAGTCGGGGGAGGCAAATTTTCACGCTGGTCGGATCTTTTTGTAATTCATGAGAAGTCCAGGGGCTTTATCGGAAAGATTAGCTCCTTTTTTTCTACACAAGAAAATAGGGCTGGTCCATCTTCATGTGACTATAGCTGGCCAAACGGGCCGTGCTAACTGGGCCGGCCCAGTAGCACGCAGGAACGACATGGCCCAGGCACGGCACGACCCGAGCTAAACGGGCTAGGCCCGGCACACGGCACGCCATGGGCCATGCCTGGGCCTGGAGGCTGGGCACGCGGGCCGGCACGGCACGGCCCGTTTAATTCTTTTCAGATTTTTTATATATATAAGACCTAAATTACAGCCTAATAGGCCTAAAATACAGCCCAATAGGCTAAAAATCAGATGGGCTAGCGTGCTAAACGTGCCACGGGCCGGCCCGTTTAATAGTCAGGCCGTGCCTGGGCCAGAGAGCCACTCCCGTGGGCCGGCACGGCACGGCACGGCTATTAAACGTGCCATGGCGGGCCGTGCCGGGCCAGGCACGATTAGCACGTGCTGGGCCGGCCCGTTTGGCCAGGTCTGCATCTGACGGGTTGGGCCAAAGGCCATGGCCCGCTTACAGTGTGGTTCCGGTAAGGAAGGTTTGCTCCTCCTCTTCCTCTCCGTCTCTCCGGTCTCCACGCCAGCCGCCGCCGCCGCCAGCAGCCATGGCGATTGCTTCTCTCATCGCCTCCAGGTTCGCCAGGTCCGGCCACGCCCTCCCTGCCGCCGCGGCCGCGGCCATCTCTCAGGTGCCCCCTCCCCCTCCAACTCTTGCTCCTTGCTCAAATGCAAATCTTTGGTTGTTCCTGCGCCGATGTTGATCTGATTTGTTGGTTTGTTCCACCGCGTTCGCGATCTGGTCGTGGTCAGGCGCCCAGGGCCCAGCACGCCGCATCTCCGCTGCTCTCCGGCTTCGGACCTCTCACTCGCGCCTTCAGGTAACCACCATTACAAGGCTCAGCTCACTATGTATGTGCACAGATAACTAACTAGCTGATCCTCTCAACATTGAAATTGAATCGAATGTATGCCCTGCCTTGCTGTCCTGTGTGTGTGCAGCTCAAGGCCTCTATGGAAGGGAGCGTTCGTCGACGCTTTCCTGCAAAGAATAAAGAACAAGAGGGAGAATCTCAACGGCAAGAAGATCTGGTCTCGCAGGTCTTCCATCCTGCCGGAGTTCGTCGGTTCCTCCGTGCTCATTTACAACGGCAAGACTCATGTCCGTTGCAAGATCACCGAGGGGAAGGTCGGCCATAAGCTTGGGGAGTTTGCTTTTACGCGCAGACGCAGGCCCCATCGGGCCATTTTGGCGAAGGGCGGTCAAGGAAAGGGGAAGAAGAAGTAAGAAAAAGGAATGTGTGTGCGTCAAAGGTGAGGTTACGATATTGTTGGAAATGAATTTGGATATCAATCAGCTGATACTGCACAAAGTTTACCTTGCTGCATTGTAAGGCTCTTTTGTTATCCTGAAATGAAATTTCCTTTAGTTGCGGCGGGTGGAAATAATAGAAACATTCAGTTTGTGCTAACTGGGCGTTGTGGCACAACAATCTCCGTTGCTTGTATTTAGCTTCCAATCTACATTTTGGAAATGGATGTCTTGGTAGATTGCAGATTCCAAACTGCATTAGTATGTTGTGGGCAATTTCCAATCTACATTTTGAAAATGGATGTCTTGGTAGATTGTAGATTCCAAACTTATTCTTATTAGATTGTATATAATTTCATTACCATACAAAAAAGATGAAGTATGCGAAGATTGGTTGGGTACATCAGAAGCTATGGCAATCTGAATTCACCCTGTTCTCCTGTGCATTACTCTGTTTTTCTTCACTGTAGCCCATTTATCTTGTAGCACAATTTCAACCTCTGGACATGATTGAATTACATTTTCATGACAACCGTAAAGTTGTAGATTTATTTGTATAGATAACTGATACTAAATTGTGAAGTGAACTTATATTATAAGAGAGGTGACGTGTCAAATCGTAGTAGGAGTGTGTCTTTATTTTTTAGTTTGACAAGTGTTTTTAGGAGCTGTACCTTATAATTATAATTCTTAGGTTCTAGTGGCACACATCAGGTTTCATCTTCGCCGGCAAATCATTGTCACATCGTTAAGGCAGGTGACTGTGACATTCAATATTTGCGATCAATATCCCATATTTTACTTTTCTTATTGGTGGGTTAAAGCTCATTCTCCTTCCTGTGCAATTGAGCTACATCTGTTTGTAAACTCTGTGTGATATGTTAGACTGTAGACAAAGACTGAGCCAGCCTGTTAAGCATCTGTGCTATGACATCTTATCTTGGTTAGAATGAGAATGCAATTGAGATGTATGTATGGCCATAAATGAGTGAGATTGTTGTCGATGCTTATGAAATAAATACAGAAGCTTGGCTTGTTAAATGTGTTTTCACTATGGTTGCAAAGATCATGGGGCTTTTTGCGCAATACTTACTTTGTCACTTGCCCAGCTGTTTATCTCACTCTGTTCATAACTTTTCAGGTGGGTTTAGGGACGGCGGGATGAGGGCCTAGTCGAAGCACAAGCACTTGAATCACCTTAATTTTCTGGACTGCGTTTCTTTCTTACAAGAATAATTATAGCAGAAAGAATGTTTAGCTCATCTTACTTGAAGATTTTCCATGGACTCTGTTTGTTTACTCTGCTAGTGGTTCCAGCATAACTCTAGAGTACATCTATTCACTGAAGGCATTGCTCTTTGGCCTTACTGAGGTCTGATGCCACAACCTGCCAAGTGTCTTTACACCTGGTTCTATGAGTGATTGTAAGTTTTGCTTCAAAGGTTGTTTTCAGCCAAATAGTCATGTGTATCTTGCTACTGGATTTGTTATGACCGGGAAATTCCTGTTGGATAGCTACGTGCGCGTGCAGTACTTTTGTACTAGTAGTTGCTATTTTTAGGCATCTCCTTCTCCAGGCGTACACCTATTCTTCAGGCATCTTATTGGGTTCATTCTCTTGCTTGCTTGATGTATTTGCACGTCTATGTGTGACAATTTATACTATCTGCTCCTGCCGAACGGAGACAGCCTGAATTAAGGCCTCTTTGATTCATATGATTTTATTGTCATGACATCTTTAATCCTACAAGATTGTACTCCCTCCGTTCCAAATTACTCGTCATGGTTTTAGTTCAAATTTCGTCGTGGTTTTAGTTCAAACATGACGAGTAATTTGGAACGGAGGGAGTAGGAATCAGCAAGTAATGTTTGATGCATCATAGGGAAGTCACAGAAATTTGAAAAAGAAGTTTTGAGTGGATTGTAATTCGAGACTGGATTTCCTACTCCCGGGAGCAGCCACACCTCTCCCCCTCTTCAATCTCAAGTTGATGGTGGATGTCCAAGTACTCCAAAGCATTGACGACTGCACTCTGAACATAACATAAAACTATAAAAGTTCAGAATCTCACGCATAGCGGAGTTCCCAGACCAATAAAACAAAGGATTGTTGAAGCACAACCAAATCATTCCGAGCTCCTCCTCTAAATCGACAGAACAACCCTAAATCGAAGCTCCCTGCCGCTTCAAGGTGAGTATCGTGTCGTTGCTTAATGTTTCTCTTGATGTGGCAGGTGAAATGGGATCGATGTATCCGCAAATGGATCATGTTATGAACAAATATTTTGTTATTGCAGCCTGCCGGCCACTATCTGTTTTAGTTTGCTGAGACGTGAAACTGAACCAAAAAAAAAGGTGCAAGGGCTTGATGGGCACACCTGATCTGTATCGAAGTAGGCTCCATGACCACACAGATAAGAAACTTAAAGGTACAATAAGGATTGATTTGAAAATCTATCACAAGGGGCGGTGGCGCAGTTGGCTAGCGCGTAGGTCTCATAGCTAAAGCGAGTGATCCTGAGGTCGAGAGTTCGAGCCTCTCTCGCCCCATATTCTTTTTTGCTCCTACATTTCCTGTAACCATCCTTTCTTCTGGAATAAAATTATTCCACTTTGCTGTTCCTAGCGCTGAATTTCATTTTCTACCCTGTAGCAGGTTGGGTCTGCACGAATTCCTTGCAAATTGAAGCTGGCAAGAACACCTGCACTCCCATCAGGCATGACTCAGGTCTTCAGAGCCAAGCTCCTTTTCCCTAGTCCTCGATGCTCCTCTTCTTCTCCAAGTAGGCGATCAGGGAGATAATCAGAGATAGACGTCGTCAATGGACGCGCGGCGACCTCCTATCCCCGAGCTCATGTGCCCATCCATCTGTCTCCCTTGCAGGTTATCACTGCCATTCCAGGCTCTTGCTGGCCCATGAGGCGTTATGTCTGTCATGGCCAACATGTCACCCCTCGGCATCTTGCCCGAGAGGAAGAGGAGGCCGCTTGTCGCGAGCACCACCATGGCCATCACCCTTAGCTTCTACTAGCCATGGATACGTTAGTTCGCCACTTAGTCCAGGATAAAGGGATGAACGGGCGACGCGGCCCTATTTTTGTTTGTGTGCACAATGTTTTCCGAGTGTAAAACTCAACAAAGCTTTTCCATCTTTGCAAAGTGAATGCATTCTACACATATGCCATGTGGCATCTATTACCCCTATAAAAGCACGAAGGGTGGAGATTCCAAACATTTGCACCATACACATACTCGAATCCAACATTTCGTATTGCTCCCACGTTCAGCACCAACCATATTTTAGCACCATGCACCACACGCCCCAGAAAAAACATGCCCCTTCCTGCTCTGGAACCACCTCACACGATCCCTTCCCCTACCTCCTCCATCGCCTTCATCGCGGCACACCATCACCTCCCTCCTTGCCCCAACACGCTTCTCTCTGATACCCACTGCCCCTCCGTGGTGCCTCCCTTCGGCATGTACCACCTAGCAACAACGCCTCATGCACCTCCCTGCATAGCGAAGGTGCACCGCGCATCCGCCCCACCTCGGGCGCTCTCTGAAGAGCCTTGTCGTCTCCACGGTCCACCTCCTTAGCCAACCATGCCACCCCATCCCTTTGCCGACCCCCTGTGGTGATAGTGGACGGCAACATCTCACCTGAAGGTGGGATGACCAGATCTCGAATTTCGTCGCCGAATGCCTTTTTCTGTTCACATACCCCAATTACTTAGTTTTTTTATTCGAGTAAACTATTTTGAGTTTTGCAGGTCACATGGTGCTATGAATTTCATCTCCAATGCATCTTGTGAGGGGCGGGCAGGCTGTAGAGGGAAGGAGAGTTGGGAGGTGGGGGAGGGGAGGAGGCGATTGGCAATGGCACGTCGGCGACAAAGCAGATGAGTTGGGAGGTGGGATATTGGAGCCACATAAATCTGTGGCCTTAAAACCTGGCACTTTCCCTCTAAAAAAAAGCAAATTTGATTTAGTTTACATGACAATGTTTGTGAAACCTTCTCAAACTTTATAGTACCCTCTAGGGATGATATAATTACACCAATGCCACGTTTCATGTTTTAGACTTCGTTTGCATTTTGTATAATTAAAAACCATTAAGATCAATGTTTGGGATCAAGTCTTGGTACTCCGAGGTTTACAATTCCTTTCTTTTCATGGATAAGGCCCGAATATAGACTGTAGATGATTACTAGTTACCAGATGCATGGATGTAAAAAAGAAATATCATTCAGTACCAGCAACTTGCTTCAAGGTGAACATTATACTAATGATGATGCTTAATGCTTACCTGGATTATTCGAGGTGTGATGAGAATATCGATACATACACCCATACTTGGATTCTAGTATGAACTAGTAAATTACACGTGCTTTGCACGTTAGTCCACAATAAAGCCGGATAATAGCGTAAGGTTAACCGATAACTAATTAGGTGAGTGCAACTTGTGTTTTTTTTGGGGGAAAGTATAATTTATGTTTAAAATAGAAACAATTGTTGTCATTTGAAATATTAAAGAAATGACTCAAGTTTCTAATCCAGATTCTTTTGTATTTTTTTTGCACGTGATTGAGTTAATTTTATTTATTTGTTGGGTTATTATTGAGTCAAGTTAATGTTATATGGTGCAAATGGGGCACCCCTAATTTCTTTCTTTATTTCATTTGACGATGGAATAAGCTGTTTGACATTACTTTTTCAGTTTAAATTACTTATGTTGATCACCCGTGCATGTATTTAATTTTTTTAATGCGCTATATTGGTCTATGGGCCGAAATTAGTGACAAAATTCGGCCTTGAACTGAAGGGGCTACTCAGTGATTATTAAGAAGGCGCCATTTTTACACTATTTGACCATTCACAACCTATTTGACTATAGGATCGAGTAGGGTGTTTCGGTGCCCAGGCTCATCTGCATCCGGTTAGAAAAAATTCATAAAAAAATTTAAAACAAATTCAAAAAATTCTATTTTTTTCATGTGGTAGAAAATTTGGTGTGTGAGACCCGCTCCAAATTTCAAGTCATTTGGACATCTGAGCATTTTTAAGCAAAAAAGACAAATTGGATCAGAACAGTACATGAACAGTAAATATTTTTACAGACCCCCATTTTTTTTTTGCTGAGAGCTGCTCATATATCCAAATGACTTGAAATTTGGAACGGGTCTCACGCAACAAATTGTCTACGACACAATTTTTTTTTTGGAATGTTTCTAGTATTTGTTTTGAATTTTTTCGTTAGCGCGGGTGCAGAGATGGATTTTCGTATAGGATCTTCTTTCTTTTGCTAGGAGTCATCCCGATGTTTCTCATCTCATGGTAGTTCTGGGTTTCTAGTACTGCTACAGGTAATTAACCCTCCATAATCTGTCATCGGATGATCCCGGTGTGATGTCTCTGTAGCACCTGCGCGAGCAGCAACAGAAACCGGGGTGAACAACGATAATACCACCAACTATGTTCCTACAATACTCTGCCTCGGAGACTTACGAATGCGTAGGATTTTATGGCAGCCAGTACGCAGCGGCCAGCGGGAGACCAGCAAAAGCAGCGAGGGAAAACGTCGGCGACTGCGCACGGAGTAGTGTGAGCTAGGCAGCCATCTGATGCGAGGAAGAGGGCGAGCAGCTAGGCGTTACACTTACACCGGCGTTCCTCCCGGTGCGGAGCCGGCGCCGGCCATGGCTTATAGTCAGATCCAATAGTGGCCGTCAGGTCGACGCAAGCTCTGCTCCATCAATCCACGATGGTTCTCGAACACCCGAGACCGTGGGAGATAGTACCGGAACTGCCACGCGGCTAGATCCAGATCAACATAAAAGTTGATCCAACGGTTAGGGACGCTGGGATTTGCCAATTCTCAACCGTTGGATACCTATAAAATCAATGGCTAGCATTTGAACTTATTCATACACTATATAGGGGTATAGATAATATCTTATTACAACCTGCCATTATCTATTTTCATATCAGATAGATCGGTTTGCTGTCACATGAGCATGAATAAAAGAAGTGCAAGGGCTGAACATGTTGGTCCATTTGTGCCCCCAAAGTACAGTTTGATGGAATGATGGATCCTTGAGAAGTAGGCTCCATATTTTGTCTCTTTTCTTTTCTCTTCTTGAGAACAGTGGGGTCGTTGGAATCTTGAACTGATTGCTTGATAGTTTTATCATTGTGTTGGCTATGAAATGAACAATATGAGCCTGCTGTGAATGAAGATGAATAGAATCTTAACGGAGTGATGAGAAGAAAAACACAACGGGGCGGTGGCGCAGTTGGCTAGCGCGTAGGTCTCATAGCTAAAGCGAGTGATCCTGAGGTCGAGAGTTCGAGCCTCTCTCGCCCCAATAAACTTTTTGAAGATTCCCTTCTTTCGAGATTTTTTTTAAAAAACACCTGCGAACATCCATTCTTCTGGAATATAAAAAAAATCCACTTTCACCAATCTTTTTCAAATGTCCCTTTTTTGAGATTTTTTATTTTAATTTTTACCTGCAACCATCCTTTCTTCTGGAATAAAAAGATTCCACTCGCTGAATTTTCTAAACCTGTCGAAGATCGGGTGCTTTTGCTTTTTGAAATTTCCCTTCTTTCGAGAATTTTTTTAAAAACAGTTCCTGCAACCATCCATTCTTCTGGAATATAAAAAAAATCCACTTCACCAATCTTTTTCAAATGTCCCTTTTTTGAGATTTTTTATTTTAATTTTTTCCTGCAACCATCCTTTCTTCTGGAATGAAAAAGATTCCACTCGCTGAATTTTCTAAACCTGTCGCAGATGGGGTGCTTTTGTTTTGTTCATGTGTAAGTGTAACTGCACAAATTTCGCACCATTCATGCTGCTCTGTTCCTACTTACTCAACAAGTATCATTGCTTCTGTAGCAGGGCGAGTCTTTTCCTTGCAAACTGAAGCTGGCAAGACAACACCTGCACCCCCTCAGGCAGGCCTCAGGTCTTGACAACCAAATTGAAACCTCCAGAATGCAGGTTGGCAACCTGGCAAGAACACCGATTGATTCGCCTCGCTCTGCTTGTTTAACTCTAGAACATGTGCTCCTTCTTTCTCATGGAAAGATTATCGTGTTTTTCAATCGCAAAGACATCATTAGAGGGGAGAAAACGATGACAGAAAGGGCTAGAGCAATGGGTCTTGATACATATGGGGCATCCCTTTTCTTCAGAATCAAGCCAAGCACAACAAGATACAATACATAAATTTCCAAAATACATACACACATGGTAAGACTCTGAACGCCACATGACACATCAGTATATGATCAAAATCAACGCAAGGGATTTTTTTTGTAACAACTCTCAGTTGTAGATGGCATGCTAGCGGGCTCATCACCGGCATCCATCTTTTGCCAGAGAAAAAAATGAAATAAAAAAGGAATCTTGTGTTTTTTTGTATAATAATATATGTCATTATTATGTAACGGTTGCATGATGATTTGCGCACGCATCACATCACATTAGTCGAAAACAGTGACAAAAAGGATTCCAACAAAGACAAATATTTACAAGCATGGACAGTGAAATGGGAAAACTAGACAAGGGCAAAGATTTCTTGCAGTATTTTGTAGATGGCTCCTACAAGCTTGATTTTCCTACTTGCTCCCTGCGATGATATCTCTTCTGGTTCATCCTCTTAATTTTTTCTTCTCATCATAAGAGTATATCTCTTCTATCCCCATGCATACGTCCATGGTTTTAAAAGTCGCAAACAAAAGATTGACATGATGATGAATGATTAAGTGAGGTGGCCGGTACCAGTCTTGGGTGCTCCATGCAAGCCGTTATATTCCTTTCCAAGAATACAAAGGGAGGAATACCACCCCGGCCGGCGATGGCGGCGGCGGCAACCTTCCTCGGCTGACGGTCGGATCTGGGTGGCGGCGATCCACTCCGGCCAATTCAAGGGCCGTGGCGCAGGCCGGCGGCGACCAGGGTTGTTGTGCTGGAGGCGGCGAGGAAGGGATCACATCGGCTGCTAGGTTGCCCGATCTGGATCCCTTTCGGATCTGGGTGGTGGTTCCTCGAGCCATCGTGCGCACCCTTTGTTCCGGCGTGGCACGCGGCCTCTGGACTAGGCCCGCGACACGAGGATGCCGGGGGCTCCGGTCCTGGGCGTGGAGGTGGTGACCATCTTCTACGCCGGAGGTGGTCGGCTAGATGGTTGTGGATTCTCGCATCCAGTCCTGGCGTCGAGTGGGGAGACGAGGCTGCCGGTGAAAACCGTGCTATAGCCATGGTGGGCTGCGACGACGACCTTTTTGCATTGTTATCTTGTTGAAGACATCGCCATTGCAGCTTCTGTCGACTTGCTTGCGCTGCTCTAGGTGAAAACCTAGACCCGGAGTTTCCGGATCAGATGATGGCGGTGCTTTTGGCGTCGTTTTCCCTCATGGGGGCATCGTTTTTGAGCAGCGGCTGGATGTAGGATCAGAGGACGGATTCTTTGGTGGAGCGGTGCGTCATCTCACTCATTGATGGCGGCGGGTCTCGGCGGCATGGCGCTGTGGTGACTGGGCGTCCGATGCGCGGAGATGGACTCGCGTAGGAGGGTGACACGGTCTGGCGTCATGGTGGCATCGACAACAGTTAGATCGGGCAAGGTTGATGCAGCAGTACAGTTCTGAAGATGGATTGGTGGTAGGTGGCTGCGCGGCCTCATACCCGACGGGCGTCCTGGATGTGACCTCAGGTCTTAGATGTTAGGTTTGGCTGCGAGGTCTGTTTAGTATTAGGCCCAGACTATCAACATCCCTTCATCAACTGGATAGGAGTAGCGACAGATGTTGCCTAGACGGTGGCTTTAGTCTTACTGTTGTATGACTTTGTAAAGTCTTGTGTGAATAATTAATAAAGTGGCTACATGCATCATCCAGAATGCAGAGGCCGGGGTCCTCCTCCATTTCAAAAAAAGGGAGGAATACCATGAAAAAGGTTGCTCTTCTTCCATAAAAGTGTTCTCACTCAATGCTTGTGTACATCGCTTGATGCAGGGGCCGGGGGTTAATTATCCTCCTTTTAAAGAAAAAGTGTCCTCACTATTTTTTTTTTTTTGCAATTTGGCTATGTGCATCCTGTGATGCAAAAGTCGGCAGTTATTATTTTCTCTAGAATCGCTTAGTGGGTATGTATAGTTGCGATTATTTTTTTCGATAAAGAGCGCTTTTATTATCTCAAAATATAGCATCAAAGTGATACAAAACATTAAAAGTATCACCCGGCCTCTGCATAATTAGGATGCACGCAGCCAAACACAAGTAGTCTGATTAACAGAAAAATAAAAGACCGACAATTCGGCACCAGTTGAGTCCATAGACCGACACTATGCCTATGTCAAAAGAGATGGTGGACCGAGCCGGAGATTATGCTGCCATCCATGTTGGGTAAAAACCTCCGTAGCTACCTGCTCCAACAGCGTACACACCGCCTTGAATAGCGATTGGTACTCCGCTTGTTGTAGCGTACACCACGTACGAAGCGAGTGTGTACAACGGAAAATAACCTGTAAAGGAGAAACAATTTTGTCATTAAAAACAACATCATTTCTACATAGCCAAAGCGACCATAGTAAGGCATACGCTCCCACCCTTATTAGCCTTTTGTATGCATTTGAAATACCGTCCAGCCAATGACAAAAAATATTGGCAACACTTGTGGGCGGATACAAATCTGATGCTATTTGGATGATTGACCACGCAGAACGCGCAAATTTACAGTGAAAAAAGAGGTGTTTAATTGTCTCGTCATGAGTACAAAAACAACACTTCTTATTTCCCGACCAGTTGCATTGTGCGAGGTTGTCTTTTGTTAGCACAACTCCCCTACAGAGATACCACATGAATAGTTGCGATTACTTGCCCGCTTGCACATGTCTTTTACTTTTATCACTATGTAGCTGTTGCAAGATGATTTGCTTACCCATCCCATCACAGAAACAATGACAAAAGGGCCACAACAGCTAGGAATACTTGCAAACGTGGGCAGTGAAATGGTAATCTAGATAGCCAAGGACCAAGATTTGTTGTTGCATTTCGCAGAGATGGATTTTCTTGTGATTCATAACATCAGCTCAGCCAAAAGAGGCTCCAGTGATCTTCTTACTCTTTTCTTCTCACCAAAGGGGGGCGGTGTGCGAGTTTTATTCAGTTTTATTTTGTTTGAACATCGAGTTTTATTCAATTTACATAAATATAAAAGCTGAAAAACTATTTAAACAACAAAAGGCCTATTAGCTCAGCTGGTTAGAGCGTCGTGCTAATAACGCGAAGGTCACAGGTTCGAGACCTGTATGGGCCATTAAATTTTTTTTGTTTTCTCTTTTTTTGTGCACAATGAAAAAAAACAAAAAAAACTTGGCTTCGCCCGGGTTCGAACCGGAGACCTTCAGTGTGTTAGACTGACGTGATAACCAACTACACCACGAAACCTCGGTGACAACTTGGTTCTCAACTCGTTAGATAAGTCCAGTAATCAACAAGATGACGTGCTAACAGAACCACGTAATTATTTTCATCTGGAAAATCATGCCACAATATGCTTAAATAATAGCCCTTCAAGAAAAGAAAGATACCATGTGGTCCAACAAATTCTCCCCGTTTTTAGAGACCAAAAAATAAACAGAGATGAACTATTTCTCAATAGAATACCTCTTCTTTTTCGACAAAGCCCACACAACCAACATATTTATTCAGATATAGAAGCATCACTACACTCGCATAAGATTTGGGATTACACCGCCATGCGATAGTTCTAACTAAGAGCACTTATTTGAGCGAGGTACATTCAACAAACGTTTTATTACAAGAACAAAAGAGTAAGCTTGAAATACTGCTGCCAGGAATCTAGTGCCACCGGTGCACAGCAACAGCAGCCACAATGAGCAGAACACTAGCTAGCTACCAGAGACATCGAATGGCCCCAGCTCCGGCATGAACGCCATCACACGGCCTCCACCATGTATGGAGAACTATCATGTGGAAATGGTTAAGTTGCACCTAAGAATTTTGTTGGGGCGAACTTGAAGGTGTGAATTGTGAAGAAAATTTGGTTCCACAGTCCAACATAAATTCCCCATCACCAAGTTTCGGATCGCAAACAAATAAACTGATAAGCTGAACATGATGAGCACCACAAAAACCACCAGTTCATAACAGCCGATGTTTATTCAGTCAGATGGTTCTGGACATGCTGTCGGTCAGTACAGAAGAGAGATTCTGAAAGACATGTATGTGTTGGGCTCTGAGGATCTTCAGGCAGATGACTTGGTACTAGTTTGTTGAGTTGTGGCACCAGAAGCTTTTGGTGCAGGTGGCGGCGCAACATACATCTTAGCTCGGCGAAGAACCTCGGCAACAATCCAATGCTTGTTTTTGCTCAACGGCCTAGAAGGATCCAGCCTAACCTGGAGAGACATTGATGCAGCCATCATTGATAAGAAGGAAGAAAACTGTTATAGTTTATGTTATGTTACACCTTGAGTGAATGAATCATAGTGCAAAAAGAGCACTAGTCTCCAAAAAGTAAGCAGATAAACAGACCACAGGACAAAACGAGGCAAACTCATTAATCTATTCGACAGAGCAACTGTATAACTTTTTATATTCAAAGTCAAACTTGTTTATAAAACCAAACCGCTGCTAAGTAATGTGGATCTATCTCCCGGTGGTGAAAGCAAAATTTGTTCAGCAGAAAACATATTATGAGCAAATTGCAGCCTTAACTGACATGACATGCACACAACAACAAGTCCAAGTACTCTTTTCAAATGAAACGATGGTATCCTAAAATATTATGAAGGATGGAAGGAGAAAAAAATCACCATTGCTATAACAACAACCATCATCAGTCAAGTGTTCAAGAGGCAAGATTGTTTACTCTAAAGATGGCAAACAAAACAATAATTTGGTTTCTCCCATAAACTAGCTAGCTTAATGGAACTTGAGCTTACAAGCCTAAGAAAGTCAACCAGATCTATCTTGTTTGAGGTTTACAGAAGAGAATATGCCAGGAAATAAACTGCTAAATCTAGCTAGCTTCATCCCAGTGAAAAATATCTAGATAGCTTCAGCCCGGTGATAATATTAGGTCGACGTATTGTGGAAACATAAAACAGCTGTGCCATTATGTGACATGTTCAAGAATATGTATTGATGGATATATATCTATTGGAGTAAAAAAAGCTAGAAAGCGTGCTAGTAATAGATCTACTACATTCTTTGGATGGACCTCAAAATTTCTCAGCTACAAGAGCAACATGTAAACATAGTTTGCATAACTATCCAATGGAACGGACCAGCCCCAATAAACAGAAAGCACCAAAAGGTAAACTAAGAGAATATGCTAAGAAATAAACTGCTCAATCTAGCTGGCTTCTATAGGTTGACGTATCCCTACTACTATGGTGCACCAGTTTTGAACTTTGGATTAGCACATGTTTCCCTCCAAACGTCACCTCCAAACAATGACATCACTTGATTATGTAAATCTAAGCGAGCAAGTAGGAGCGAATCCAAAGAAGAATGGTTGTTGATTTTTGTAGATCTAATGGTCCATATTGGTCCATTGTTCAGTCAATTTCTTCCGACTCTTCTAGGTTGAAGTTGAACATTGCCGCCTGGGCTACACCGGTGTGTCGCCATACTGCAGGTGAGCTGAGAGAAGAAGGCGGCGACTCGATTGTGCTATTTATTCGTTCAAACCTGCAGTTAAGCTTCAGCTGTATGGACCAAATCCCCTCCAACCCTGAGTAAAATCGGAAGCTCTCTGTTCTGAACTCTAAAATGATAAAATTTCATACTCACTTGACATTACCACATAGATCCCTATTCTGAACTCTGAATTTCATCATACTCAACTGAAGATTGCACTAGTCACTTTCAATAATCCAAAATCCCTATTATGAACTCTCTGAACTTGATTCTCACTTGACAAAGAAAGTCCAGCTTGGTCTACTCTACACAAGTCGATAACATATGCAAGAAAGACTGCAGAAATAGGTCTGGATTCGGCACATCACAATCACATTGAAGGTCACACACAGTTGACAAAGGGAGGGAGGGAGCAGGCGGTTTGGGTTACTGACGGGCGTACGTACCCTGTCGCCGATGTTGCAGGTCTCGGCCTCGTCGTGCGCCATGAACTTGGAGGTGCGCTTGACGTAGCGGTTGTACACCTTGTTGTGGAAGAGGCGGTCCACCGCCACTACCACCGACTTCTGCATCTTGTTCGAAACCACGATCCCCACCACCGGCTTCATCTCTTCTCTTCTCCTCTCCTCTCCCCCCGACGGACGGACGAACGTTGTTGAGATTAGCGGCGGCGGCGGCGGCGGCGGGTAGGTTGAGATGCGAAACACCTGCTGCTGTTTTCCGCTAGGGCACGAGGCGACACTGACTGACTCGTATCGGGGCCGAGCTGGGCTGTGCTAATTGCTTGCTGGGCCTGGGCGCGCGGCGCAGGCTGATCCAGTAGAGACTTCAAGTGGGCCAGATGAGCCTTAAGTGTACCTATTAATCAGACGTCAGATTTAACCTTCAAGTGTTACACACAAAAAAAGAACATAAAAAAACCTTCAAGTGCCGCTAATCCGAAACCAAGGGACCCATTTGTAAGGGGAGCTGATTCTAAAAAAGAAATAAAAATGCAAGGTGAGCTGCGGGTACTCTTTGTTGAGTACATGTGTTGTGCATATTATGTATTGGGCCCACTTTCTAGTTGCCTTATATAGCTGAGGTCGTGGCCTACTCCTGTAGATTATATATACATGCGTTTGCACTTGAGGAATACAACACGTAATTCCCACATCATACATGGTATGAGTTTCCAGGTTCTAACCCTTAGCCTTTCGCCCCTGCCGTCGCTAGCGCGTCTCCCGCGCCGACCGCCGCTCCTTCTCTCCCTGTGCGCGTGCTGCCTAGCCACTCGTCCGCCCGCGCTTTCCCCGTTAGCCAGTGTTGCACAGATCGATCGCTTGCCTCGCACCGTCCCGCATCGCCAGCACTGCACAGATCAATCGCTAACCTCGCATCGCCCACATCGCTAACACTGCACAGATCAATCGCTAGCCCCGCTAGCCGCTGCAGACCCGATTGCCTTGCGTTGCCAGCATCGCACGCTAGCCGCCACATCGCACGCTAGCAGCAGCTGCACCCGAGCCCGCCAGCCACCCGATCGCTAGCCCCGTTGCCTGCTCCGCCGCCGAACCCGCCGCCTCGACCTAAGTCGCTGCTGCACCCGAGCCCACCGGGCCACCTCATCCTCGCCATGTCGTCCGTCACCTCTTCTGCGTCCACCAACTCCAACCCGTTCGTCGACGCCAACCCTCCCGACGTGAACGACATCCGCAACCTAAACATCTTTGAGCGGGTGCTGGTTCGTCTCTCGTAGGCGAACTCCTCCTACTTAAGGTGGAAAGCGTATTTCTCCCTTCTATTCCGGGAGTATCACCTCATCGACCACGTGGACGGCACCGTCGACTCCAGCCTCGTCCCCGAGTTCCATGACTGGTCCACCATCGACACCACGATCATCCACTGGTTCTTCCTCACCATCTCGCCGGACCTCTTCCAGACGGTCGTGCAGGACGGTGACGATGCCTGCGTCGTGTGGACCAAGCTGAACGGGCTCTTCACCGACAACCAGCTCCAGCGTAGTGTTTTTTTGCAGCAAGAGTTCTTTGGGTGTCAGCAGGACAACACCTCCGTCGACGACTATTGTCACCGCCTGAAGACTCTCGCTGATGAGCTCCGCGATATTGGCGCAGAGATCGATGATGACCTCCTCCTCAGCACGCTCACCGACGGTCTCAACGAGGACTTCGGCAACACCGTGGCGAACCTCAGCCTCATCCCAACCCGTCCTTCGCCAAGTTCGTTGCGTACCTCTGCTTGGAGGAGCGGCGGATCAAGCAGGTGAAGGCACGGGCCATCCACAACGCTCTCGCCGCCGGCACCACCCGCGACGGGTCCTCGGCGCCTCCAGCTGCCCCGGCCGCGCCCCCGCCGCCGCGCCACCCGGCGTCCTTCCCGGTGCCGCCACCGTACCCGGCGCCCCAGCAGCAGGGGCTGCTTCCGCTGCCTTATGAATGATCTCTACTACACAACCTTCTTCTTGTAGATGTTGTTGGGCCTCCAAGTGCAGAGTTTTGTAGGACAGTAGCAAATTTCCCTCAAGTGGATGACCTAAGGTTTATCAATCCGTGGGAGACGTATGATGAAGATGGTCTCTCTCAAGCAACCCTGCAACCAAATAACAAAGAGTCTCTTTGTGACGCCCGGATAATTAAGCTACAGTAACCCTCTGCTAATGATGCAACGTCACCTCGATTACTATTGCTAACCTTGCGTTAGTTCGAAAACGATTTGAATTCAAATTCAAAATCAAGCAAGCAACAAAAGTTTTGAAACGCTAAAACAAAAATGTCCTGAAGGTGTCGGATAAATCATAGGTAATTGCGGTGGCGAAACCAAACTCAAAAAAAATGTTGAAAGGCTCTAAAATAATTATGACAGTATCAAAAACAATTAATTACATGCCTTTTACAATTAACAAAATACTAAACTATTTGATTGGGGTCCATAGTTAATGTGGCAGTAGTATATTTAGATACACTAAATTAGAAACTACTTTTATATTTTAGATTTGAAAATAAATTAAAGGCTAAAAGAAAACATGATAGGAGAAATAAATAAGCCGAAAAGAAAATAAAAAAGGGAATTGTGACGCCCGGGTAATCAAGCTACAGTAACCCTCTGCTAATGATGCCACATCACTTCGATTATTTTCGCTAATCTCGTGTTAGTTCGGAACCGATTTGAATTCATATTCAAAATCAAGCAAACAATAAACGTTTTCAAAAGTCAAAACTAAAATGTTCTAAATGTGACAAATAATTCATAAGTAATGTTGGTGGAGAAACCACATTTTTATAAAAGTTCTAAATGCATTTAAATAATTAAAACTGTAGGTAAAACAAATAAATAAATGTGTTGGTATTTTATAAAATACTAAACTATATTATTTGGGGGTTAAACCTTTTTGTGGCAGAGGTATAATTAGTGTTACTATTTAAGATACAACTTTTATGTTTTATAAAACTAGAATAAAATAAAACAGTAAAGAAAAAAAAAAGAAAGACTAGAAATTGTAGCCCCCCCCCCTCGCTGGGCCTCGGCCCAGATGGCCTCGGGGCCAATCAGGCCGGCCCAGCCGGCCGCCCCCTGGCCTATAGGCCACCCACACCCTAGAAACCCTAACCCCCACTCCCACTCGCCCCACTCCCCTCTCCCC